TGATGTCAGTGACAGCGGTGGCCGTGGGAACGGCGAGCAACGTAACCCCGGTCACTGGGCCAGTGATCCAGGTGTGTTCATGGATAACCCGATTTAACCTGGAGCAGGACCAGGCGGTGCTTGTTGAATTCATATCTGACTTCACTGATAAGGCTGCTTAACTGCACGGTGTATTTAACATTGTATACTTGGACAGCTCTTTCTAGGAAGATGTTGATACTGGATACTGAACTCGATCTTGATGGAATATCACATTAATGTGGATGCTGAGTAGAATGTACTTGTACAGTTTATTGGATAGCTGATAATTATGTTGAGTCTGAACTTCTAATCTACAGATTATTGGATGGCTGTTAACGGACATGGAAGATGAATATCAAGAATAGTTCATCTGTGACTTGTGAACTGCTACAGCATGGATATTCTTTAGAATGTACGTATATCTGACTATCGAAGGATTGTACTGGATGGCAAACAGCGGGTGCATTTTTCTGTATAAAGGGTGTTTCATAATATATAATCTGCCTGGCCAGTGTATTTCTTGGTACTAGTCTCTACGCCCTGAAGAACGTACACACATACTGGACACATACTGACGGACATCCGCCATTTTACTCCAGCTTCTGCTGTGGACGAGAGTGTGACGAATGCCATACATCTGTCAAACTACTAGTGGTTAAAGTGATAAATCAACTGAGTGATGTTGTTGAGAAGGAAGATGATTGTGGTATGTTAATGATTACTAGTTTCACAAAGGTTCTGCTGAAAGGATGTAAAGAAACACTGAAGGTACGAAACAAGGCATATCAATTTGATCAAAAAGCACATCAAGGCTCCTGCGTTGATCAAATGCAATATCGAGTTGATCACAAGTCATATCGAAACTAGTGTGTTATCCATAAAGAATATCAAGGCTATTGTGTTCATTACAAGGCATACCAAGGCTCCCGTGTTGATCACAAGGCATACCAAGGCTCCCGTGTTGATCACAAGGCATACCAAGGCTCCCATGTTGATCACAAGGCATACCAAGGCCCCTGCGTTGATCATATCAAGATGCCTGCTTTCACCACAAGGCGTCTCGAAGGTACATCACAATGATTTGCCTTTCAAAATCAATCTGCAGCACAGCGTTTCAACGTCATCAACAATCATTCCTTGGGCAATATAACAATTATCTCACTTCGGAAACTTGATAAACGGGATAATAGCCGAACAATTAAGATTATTTCCATTCCAACATGGCGGTAAAGTCACGTACGTAATGACGTTTCCATGTAAGTGATCAACAAAGTGAGATCGGTTCCACAGAGTGCACAGGGAACATGCCTTCAGCAAGCCTGCATCAACATTTTATGATGCGGAAAGCAATGATCATGATTTATTCAATGGGAACTACAGATCAGTTACCGATACAGAGATCGAACCCTCATTCGCCGGTTACTCATTAGTGATACTGTGAGTGATTTGACATGCAGACTTTTAAAACATCCACAACGAAGAACCAGTGCGATTGTGCGTGACGGGGTTGGGCCAAGCTTTGGGAGGATTGGAGAACTGGATGTTTACATATATATTTATTCGCGTATTTAAGTTAAAAAGAAGACTGAATTGACGTCACTTGATAAATTATATATACATCCACAAAACCCCGGGGAAGTAAACAAGAAAGGATTTCTGGGCTCTCTTGGATCGAACGCGGTGACTGGCAGTGAAATAACATTTTGGATTTTAGAACGAATGACCTTGACCTGCCTATGACCTTGGAAGTTACCACTACATGTACGTCACTATGGCGACCGGAGATTTACCAACTGCAGTTGCGAATGAGTTGTCGTCCTACCCGTTGCAGTTTATGGTGACAATGCCTGTAAAACGGGCTTCTTGTGTTTTGGACTCGAGTCCAAGTGGGTCGCCATCTTACTCAACTCCTAGCCCGGAAGTTGACTTCCAAGACCCGGATTATATGATGCCTGCGCAGGTGCGGGAAGTGCTCCAACAGGAAGGGCTGAGTAAAGTGGCGCTAGATGTCGCTTTGGGCGAAAGGGAACTACTTCATAAAAAAGCCAGATACATGACACACCTTGAAAGCCTTAAACGGTAATGAGTGCGTGAGTGAGTTAGGTTTTAACGACGCTCTGAACAATATCGCCGTTATAATCACCGACGTTATCTTAACATCGGCGACCCGTGAAGATCCGGGTTTCAATTGAACTTTAGTAACCCATGCTTGTCGTCAGAGGCGATTAACGGGGTCGGGTGCATAGTCAGACTCGCTGACTTGGTTGACAGTGCGTAGATCGATGCTCATGCTGTTGATCACTGGATTGTCTGGTCCAGACTCGATTATGTACAGTCCGTCACCATATAGCTGGGATATTGCTGAGTGCGGCGTAAAACTAAACTCACTCACTCTTAACATCGTGATGCAGGTCTGAGAATTGTACCATTTGGTGAAATACATTGAGCAGGAGCATGGTGCTGGCAAACCTTGAAACATAATCGGGGCGAATTACAACGCCCTCAGATAACAGAGCTATCCGTACCCCATTAAACGGTGACGGTAGACAATTTAAACATATTTCACATGTATTGGTTGATGCCATGCCATTATTGAAGGGTCATGTGTCTTTTGCATTGATAGGAATCAATTCCATATTATGAATATATCAGTAATGAGAAGTCAATACTGTTTAAAACCCTGTTGACATAAGGCACCATAGAACACATTAGGCTACGCACATGTCTCAATGATTGAGAAGTTGAAGATATACAGTGTTTCAAAACATGATCATTTTGATATTTTTTTTGTTTCCGTGAACACTGTCAGTGTCTGTATCGTGGAAACGCAGCATTTTGTCTTGTATTGCATGAGAAAGTGCGACTTCCCATGCACAGATTTAGGCTATAAATGTTAACTGTAGTCTCGCCCTGACATCATGGTTTCTTATACGAAATGAGATGTTTCCAGACGGTAGCAGAGAGGGGTCAAGCAATTGGTCTCATGCAAGCTGGTCAGAGTCCAGGACAAGCTGCAAATCACTTCAATGTGAGTCAAAGTGTCATTTGGAGACTGTGGCAAAGGTTTCAAGCCACGGGATCGATGGAATATGCGAGAAGACCAGGTCGACCTAGAGTTACTGCTGCAAGGCAAGACGGGCACTTGGCTAACGTCGCTTTACGTAACCGATTCGTGACCACCGGTGACCTTCAGACTGAACATTACAATGTTCATGGTGTCAGGATAAGCAGGAACACTATCCCACGCGGGTTAAGTGCCAATGGGCTCGGTTCAAGGCGACCAGCAGTCCGTCCGCCACTTTTGCAACGTCACAGACATGCACGTTTAGCCTGGAGCAGACGTCACGGTCGCTGGAATCAACGTCAATGGTCAACATTGCTCTTTACAAATGACAACTTGTTTAATTTGTCTTTTAATGATGGTCTTCGGAAAATATTCCCCAGAAGAGTTGAACGGTTCACTGATGTTACAGTTGTTACACAAGACAGGTTTGATGGCGGGTCAGTCTTGGTTTGGGCCGGTACCATGGCTACAGGAAGAACCCAGCTTCACATTATTGATGGAAATTTGACTGGTCAGCTGTACCGAGATGAAATCTTGTCTCCCATTGCTATTCCCTTTTTACAAGCTATGAATGGAGTTTATGGTCGCGAACCTCTTCTACAGGACGATGATGCCAGACTTCACAGACCCAGGATAGTCATTGATTATCTTCAGCAACAGGGTGTGGAACGGTTGGACTGGCCGACATGTTCACTAGACCTCACAGAGCCAGGATAGTCACTGATTATCTTCAGCAACAGGGTGTGGAACGGCATTCTTCATGGACTGGCCGAAGCATGTTCGGTAGACCTGTCAGGACAGAGATGACTTTCCTTATGGGGGTATCCTTTTGTTTGATGTCCGTGTAGATACAGTCCTGATCCTTTTCTCACAGCATAGCACAGAACACTCTCCTCAGTTAATAAATGATCTCTTCTTTCTATGATCTTGTCACAGCAAACTTTATTTTGCATTATATTACCTTATTGGTACATGACCCTTCAATAATGGCACTGAGTATATATAGTCGACAATGATTATTTTCTGGCGTTGAATTCATATAAATTCATTGCAGCGGGCTTCACTTTCGTTAAGCGGAGATTTGGCTTAGTTGACAGTGCCTGGAAAAAGAAAAAATAGGTTGTGGATAGTTACAAGAGTGTAACTCTCTGTTGCCGCCGGTCCCATGAAGATCCGGGTTACAATTGGTCTTCACCAACCCATGCTTGTCGTAAGGGGCGACTAACAGGGTCGGGTTGTTAGGCTTACTGACTTGGTTGACACTTGTCATCGTATCCAAATTGATTAGTACGATGCTCATGTTGTTAATCACTTGATTGCCTGGTCCAGATTCGATTATTTACAGACCGCCGACATATAATATAGCTGAAATATTGCTGAGTGCGGCGTAAAACAACAAACCAACCAAACCAAACCTGATGCCCTCGGTAATTTAATGTGTCATTGGTTCTGGTTGCCACCCTCCGTGGTGTATTGGTTAGAGCGTCCGCCCGAAGAGCGGAAGGTCGCGGGTTGCATCCCCGACCGCGTCATACCAAAAGACGTTAAAATATGGTACTTGTTGGTCCCTGCCTGGCGCTCGGCATTAATGGGTACAACAAGGACTGGTCGGCTCGGAGTCAGTATAATGTGTCTGAGTGGGGTATTCATGCTTCACTGCGGGATGGTATCTCAGTGGGCTAGCACTATAAACCAGCTTAACTCTGGGCTAGTACAAGCAGCCGCACATACACATACACACACACACATATGCACGTCGTCACCTCACCTGAGCGAAATATTTGCCAGCACGACGTAAAAATAGGCTCCACTCACCTCACCTCACCTCTGGTTGCTTTCCGACCATCCCCACAATCGGCGTTATATATTTTGTTGTTGTGTCTAGTATTGAAATTTCCCTTTTCCTTTTGTCCAGTCAAAGATCGCCAAGACCGCGTCACGCCAAACCAAACAGCCAAGCTCCACTTCCGCCAATCGGGTCAAAGTTTAGCGAGACGGTTACAAGATATGGCGAGAGTGTTTCGAGACTCGGCGAGATTGATGACCGAGGGGACGAGGAGTCCAAATCCCGCCAAGAAATGAGAACCGATCGGGTGAGACCGTGGATGAAACCCGCGGCTCAAACTTTCAACCTTCCCAGACTACAAGCTGAAGCTGCCTTGGGTATGACGTCATCGCTAGGTAAGACTTGTCAGAGAAGGTAAAAGTATTAATTTTATCAACACATCCAAGTTTTATACTGTGAACAATCCCGCTGGTTTTATGCACAGTGTTCGCTGATTTCTATCAATATACACGCTTAATGTAACAAGAGAGTAATAGACTAATAAAAAGTGTTGAAGTTAATAAAAAATACCCTTGTTTGTAAACTGATCTGGAGGTATTATTTGTAATCTCTTTGTGCAACTTATACCGTGTTATCTGTGTGCAACATGTAGTATGTTGTGTGTAGCATGTATTGTATGTATGGCTGTATTGTCTTTGTGCGGAATGTATTGGGTGTCTACAATCTGTATTGTCTGTGTGCAACCCTTATTGTCTTTGTGCAACTTGTATTGTCTATGTGCAGCCTTTATTCTCTTTGTAGAGCCTGTCTTGTCTCTGTGTTACCTGTATTGTCTTTGTGCAGCTTGTATTGTCTATGTGCAGCCTTTATTCTCTTTGTGGAGCCTGTCTTGTCTGTTGGTTACCTGTATTGTCTTTCTGCAGTTTGCTTTGTCTGTGTGCAGCCTTTATTCTCTTTGTGCAACCTTATTGTCTTTGTGCAGCCTTTATTATCTTTGTGCATCCTTTATTCTCACTTTAGAGACTGTCTCGTCTCTGCGTTACCTGTATTGTATTTGTGCAACCTTATTGTCTTTGTACAGTTTGTATTGTCTCCGTGCAGCCTTTATTCTCTTTGTGCATCCTTTATTCTCTTTGTAGAGCCTATCTTGTCTGTGTGTAACCTGTATTGTCTTTGTACAATCTTATTGTCTCTGTGCATCTTGTATTGTCTCTGTGCAGCCTTTATTCTTTTTGTGCAGCCTATATTCTCTGTGTGGAGGCTGTATTGTCTGTGTGCAACATGCATTATCGTTGTGCAGCCTGTAGTATCTGTGTCCTGCCTGTTGTGTCTTTGAGCCGTCTGTATTGTCTGTGTAGCGCTATTGTCTGTGTAGCCCTATTGTCTGTGTGTTGTCTTTGTCATCCTTGTGCAGCCTCTGCTGTCTGTGTGTTGTCTGCTATTATCTGTATGCAGAATGTGCAACCTCTATTGTCTTCGTGCAGCTGTCCAGGCGAGGGAGGACATCAGCAGGGTGGTGTCAGAGATTGAGAAGATGCGCTGGAATCAGGAACAGCATGAAGAGAGGGTCCACACCTACGGCCACGACAACTTTATGAACCCAAGGATCGTCGTAAGTTGGACACCATTACCGAACAACATTAGATTCTCACATTATGCCAGTGTTCACTAGGGACTGGGGTCTGTCTCAGATCAGTGCAGTCAACGTCTCACCTGTCACTTTCATTCGCCATGGATTAGGATTATCCTAAGACAAACGTTCTCACTTCAGCTGATAGTATGTTTCGTCATTCTCTAAGGACGAACTTTTATGACGTTAACCTGGCCCTTCAGGTCCACTGTCCGCCGTTTATCCCAGTGCCTGTCCATCCGTCATAACGTCAAAACCAATACATGTATCCATGCTGTGGTGTCAATGTAAAGTGTTCAGGGAATTCTGACCCGAGCGTATGTCACTGTATATATTTACCACACTGTCGCTATTGAGGTAGGCATATCCTGCAAGTATTGAGGTCTGAGAGGGTATAAAGTGTAAAGAATAATATTTACCAACCAAATTTTAATCTTTCAGTCTTGAGTATTTGGGGAAATTATCACCTTTTACAAGTAAAGTAAGTCCCATGTATATTTTATGGGAACTTTTCAGGACTCATACAACTCTAAACATCTAAGATGAATTTACCATGGAAACTTTATGGTGGGCACGAATGTTATTATACTGACAAACAATGAAGCGGCATTATCAGTTTGAAATCAAAACAATGTGTTTTTTTCGCTAAAAATTTCCTTCTTGAAACGCACTGATTGAGATTCGAACCTGTTCGACGGCATTGTTGTTTTGGTTATTCAAAGGTAATTTGATTTTTGTGGCTATTTTTGCCAAATAGGAGGATGTACTGCTAAAGATTAACAAGTTCCGTCCGTAAGTATGGCAATTTCGGCAGATTCTATGTAAACATATATCGTCTAATTGCAATGTTAATCAGTGGAAGGTTAGGTATCAAATACCCAGAACTGCGGTCCGTTTGAAGACAGATGGCTGTGCCAGGTTGACAGAAATGTATTTTACCATTTTAAAAACGTTTAATTTTAATTTTCTAGAACCGATTATTCATCTGGGAGAAGTTTAAAAATAACACTGGCACTTGATCTTTGCATTGAGTTTTGTTAGAAAGACGCCAAGGGAACATTTAATTGTCCGGTTTTCGTGCAACATGAAGGTACTTTCTGCGTAATCTAACCGATTAGGGCCTGTTGGAACGATCAATCACTTGAATATTTGACAGTGTGAGATCGGCAAGATGATAGCTGCCATAGAAACAACTGTATTAGAAAGAAGGTTCAGGAAGAGATGTCGATTAGGCACGAACTGGAGAGACTGATTGTGTTAAATATTCAACACCATCACACATCGGCTGTTCGAGAAGTATCGTAGATTAATTATCAATGAGATGGGATTAAATAGATGAAACAACTTATGTCAGTGGACGTTTATGATTATATATCTCTTTATACAAACATAGTCTTTTATTCATTTCGCTTTCATGAGGAGAATAGCCTGAAGGGACTTTGGGTTTTCTTACGATGGCAAGTTGAGTGAGTGAGTGAGGTTTAACACCGCTTTGAATAGTATAACATTAGTATGTGGGTCAGTTTAATGTGGGAGGGAAACCCGAAGTGATCCACGTTTCAGATGTTTGCTGTTTTCTAGAATTCACATGCACGGGTAATGGTGCTAAGAAATCTGGAAACTTAATTTGGACGAACTGGGATTCGAAGCCACAGTTATAAATCTCTGGCGTGTCAACTTCAACTTTCGCTTTATCTCCAGCCATATTTCATCACCTTCAACCTTTGTGTCCACATTTCTCTTTTGAGATACAATCAAGAATGCCGTTTCAACGAATATTTTAAAGAGCGCCAAAAATGGCATATATGTTGTTTGATCTGTTTACAATAGACACATGGAAGTCAATTCTAAATTTGGCTCATCAGTGACAGGAATTATCTGATGCAGTTCCCTAATTTGTGCATAATGTGTCCATGTTTTCTATCTATGTGTTTGTGTTTGTCATGAGTGCCTACGGTGGCGTCATCAATATTTGATAGTGTTTCAAATATTGAATGCATTTGCCACCACTCTCCCCTTTCCATAACCTCGAGGTACATTTGTCACCACTCCCCAATTTTCGGCAACCTCCAAGACTTACACGAGTCGCTGTTCGGCTTGTCCCGGAATAACACGACTGAAACAAGAGCTAATGGTGTAGACAGAATCGTACAATTTTTGCTACTCTTTGCAGATATTTGTTATGATGGATTTTTTATGGAAATGTGTTGTCGCTTTTATTTTCTTACGCAAAAAGGTGCTATCAGTGATGTGGCGATGATTTCCCGCATCCCGTATTCGGCTTCAGTGCATGTCGTTCTTGCGCACTGGTGTGAAAATTTACTTGGTCAAAACCGACGCTTTCACTTCGACCTGAAGTTTGCACTATTCGTCAGCTATGTCCATTCTGCATTTGGGATAATATTTTAAAGTGGAATAATCTGCCCCAAGAACTCAAAGACTCTCAAACGTTGTCATCCTTTAAATCCTTACTAAAAACTTTCCTCTTTCGCCAAGCTTTCCCTGATTTTCCCTAATATCAAACCATGCTTGTGCGCTTTGAGCATCCTTATGTTTGGAAATAGCGCTATATAAATGCACTATTATTATTATTATTATTAAAACTCACTGGTTCCTGGTTCCTCTTTGGCACAGCTGGTGTCATCCCGTCTGCCGCGATGTCACTCTATGAAGAAGGCTATCAAGAAGGATAAAAATGTCACGTTTATTGTTTACGTGAGTATACCAGCAAATTATCACGACTCCGAATATATGTTTTAAAACACGCCCAAGAACTCCCCATTCATCTTATATTGAGAATTTCAGTGATTAGGCAGTAATATACACTGATCTAATGAAAATGTATATGATAAGTCAGTGAGTGAGGACCTGTCATAGAGCGGCGGTTGGGTAGTCTAGTGGTTGAAGTGTTCCCATATCACACCAATGGTATGAGTTCTACTCCCATATTTGGTTCAGTATGTGTAACATATTCCAGGCATTTCTCCTGCTTATATTACCAGGGTTTTACTAAAAGTGGATTATAAGCACGATACCACGCTCTGTGATCGGTTGGTTGGTTTGTTGTTTAACGCCACACTCAGCAATATTCCAGCTGTAGGGCGGTGATCTGTAAATAATCGAGTCTGAACCAGACAATTAAGTGATCAACATCATGAGCATCATTCTACATACTAGTAGCTGGGATACGATGACATGCATCAGACAAACAAACAAAGACTCTGACCACCCGATCCTGATAGTCGCCTCTTACGACTAGCATGGGTTGTTGAAGACCAATTCTATGTTCGGTGTAACGTTCTTGTATGTCCATACCGCCGCCATATAGCTGGAATATTGCTGAGTGCGGCGTAAAACTAAACTCACTCACTTGTATGTCCATGGCAGCAGAACCGATGTATACTGTACGGAATCTTTTCAGAAAGCATTCTTTATTGTGTTTGTATGTTTATTTACAGGACTTCGAGACATGGTCATTTGAAGATATTTTAAGTAAGTAAATGTTCAAGTATTCAAGATGCATACTTTTGCTACATCTCTGTGTGGTTTGAATATTTGACAAAGATGTGTATTTTTAGACGTGGGGTTGAGAAAAACAGATTTGTACACGATACAGGTTGTAATTATTGTTATAATTATATTTTCACTGAAGGCATCAGATGTAAACTGATAGGAAGAAGAAAGTATACACTTGAAAATTATTTTTTCGAAAACATTTCTAAAAAAAAGATGCAACAGTGATGTCTTACCCGAAACTGGATACATCAGAATAAATATCAAATAATATATGTTTTAGATGCAGTAAAAAGTCGACTTGATCATTACCACAAGGGATGCAAGATGCACTCGTGTTTACTGCTGTGTGGGGTAAGCCGGAATTCTTAGATTAGATTCTTCTTAGATTAAAGAATATAGGTAGGCTCCATGGGTAGTCTAAAGGTTCAAGCATTCGATAGTCACACCGCGGACCAGGGTTCGATTCTATTCTCGAGCATTATGTGTTCTTGGTGACAAATGCGGCGTAAATTTTACCATGATTAATACATTTTATTTGTGAGATGCATTATCTTACAACGAATTCATTTGTAGAAATGAAGTTATTTGTCAAATTTACGATTCGGAAAAGTGATGCAGAAGTGACGGGTAACGGGACTTTTGATTAGACTGAGTTGACTTATACAAATAATGTGTTTTTAAATGATGTGCTCTGTTAGTGGTAACGTAGCGTTGTGGTTCTGGTGGTGTTAAAGTGATGTTCTGGTTGTGTTAACATTATGTTCTGGTGGGGTTAACGTTTCGTTTTGTAGGGTTAACGCTATTGTACGAATGCTAACGTTGTGTTCTGGTAAGGTTAACGTTTACTGTTCTGTTACAGGGCGGAACTGGGTTCTGTTACCTGCTGAAGAACTATGTCATGACGCCCCAGAAACTACAGCGTACTGACTATGCACCGGTCATTGAGTAAGTGACCTGCCACCTTGTTCTAAACATTTACATGCACGATGTATAAGGACATTATAACCAAAAAAATATCAATTTTGCATGTTCCTTGTTTAAGGCTGCACTCGGCAATAGCTCAGCTCTTTGACAGCGGGCTGTATATTGTCCCGTCTGAACAAGATAGTCCAGTGATAGATAGAGTGAGCAAACACGCCCCACACAATGTACCACTTCAGCGAGTTAACCTTCCCTTAAAGTGCCTATGATAATGAGTGATTGAGTGAGTTTAGTTTTACGCCGCTTTTAGCAATATTCCAGCAATATCGCGGCAGAGGACACCAGAATGGACTTCACACATTGTACCCATGTGAGACATCAAATTCAGGTCTTCCGCGTGACGAGCGTACGCTTAACCACAAAGCTACCCCACCGCCCGGCTATGATAAAGGAGGTGTAGAAAGTCTGTGTACATGTCATAGCATGGAATAGCGTCGCAGAGTGTCAGAGCATACCGACCCAGTTAGTCACTTCTTATCACAGGCAAAGTGTACTGACGTATCCTATTCCGTATCATCATGGGGAGACGCGATTATGATACAAAAGCTGATACATATCATCCCACGGTAGTGGGTGTCGTGATATTTAAACATGATATTCCTGAGGTGATGTATGGTACAACAGCCAGTGTATTGTGGATGTCCTGCTACTTTATACAGATTCTGGTCCAAGCTCGGGAACATGATCAGCAAACTGAGACCTGAGGAAGCTGCCATTAATGTGATGGGATGTTTCTTAGACGGAGACAAGCAAGGGAGAGAGGTAGTTGCTGTTTGTTTGTCAAACACGTCGCATGTTGCAGCTGTATAAATAACTGATCCTGGACCAGACAAACCTGTGACTGATAGTATGAGCAATACCCCGACCGTAGGTAAAACACAATCACCGAAGTCACCGAAGTCTCACCACCCAATCCATAGTCGTCTCGTACGGATGTTGATTTTGTAATACGTTGTCTGATTGGACCATTGATAGCTGCTGCAGTCCTTTCCCGAGGTCTGCTTAAGTCATGCGAATGTCGGCTTTGATTAACAAGGGTAAACATATTTTTGACATGGACTAACACTTGCTTCTGGAAGATGACAAGAATAAGACAATACCTTGATTGATTACTGCAAATGAGTTAATGATCGTACCACGTGCCGAGTTTCACCCCAAACGTGTTCGCGTGACAAGGAACATATTTTTCAGGAAACGCTTTTTGATCAAGAAATGAGTGAGTTGGTTTAACGCTTCTTTGAACAATATTACAGTTCCATCATGTAGTATCAGTACTGTAATAGTCTTTAGACTAGTATCAAAACAAGGAGTCCATTTAGAAACCATGCATGTGGTCAGCATGGTGGCCATTACACATAAGCCAGGGGAGATCACTCTACTGGCATGTTTTACAGTGATGCTATATGGTTACAACTCTTTATGATTATAGCAAACCTCTGTTGTCTGAAGTACATTTCACCACAAGTACTAGTTGAAGAAATCCCGAAGCATTGTATGTCTCATACATGTACGTTTACCACTTTGGTGAAACCCACGGCCACCGGTATTGTGCTGACACAGGATGCCGAGAAACAGGTTGAACTGGGATTTGAACCCACCATCCTGGTGAGCCCAGGGTAGGCAACTCTGTAATGCGAAATGCGGCGACTTTAGCCGACTGGGCCACCACGGAAATATTGTCACCACAGTGAGTGAGTTTAGTTTTACTAGTTTTAATATTCCAGCAATATCACGGCGGGGAACACCAGAAATGGGCTTCACACATTGTACCCATGTGGGGAATCGAACCCGGGTCTTCGACGTGACGAGCGAACGCTTTAGCCACTACGCTACCCCACCACCCCAGTGTTACCACAAGGTAGAGAAGCTCCGAAATATGCAGTGATCAAGTTCTTGAATAAGCAGCGATCATACAGAATGGAAACACTGTTTTTATCACTACATGTTCTCTGCTTCTAGGTGTTGGCAGTTATAAGAAAAGCTGTACACCCAAACATCGTGCGAGTGGACTCCCCGTCAGAACATATGGCAGAAGGTAAGTTAGGACTGAAGCTTTTTGTTTTGTTTTTTAATCAATCAACTTGTTCCAAAAAGCACAATAATAATAGACAATGCTGACAGGAATCTTAATTAATTTCGGCTCCTCTTTTCTTATAAAATACAAGTTATTGTCTGTTTTGAAGATGTTGCTAAGACTGTTTTGAAGATCAGTCTAAACGTGACAGGGTTGCTTTTAGAGGCATATCCAGTCCTGGTTAAAATTGGTGTTCAGTAACCTATGCTTGTCGTAAGAGTCGACTAACGGGATCGGGGGCTCAGGCTCGCTACATTTCATCGTATCCCAATTGCGTAGATCGATGCTTATGCTGTTGATCACTGGATTGTCAGGTCCAGTCTCGATTATTTACAGCCTGCCGCCATATAGCTGGAATATTGCTGAGTGCGGCGTTAAACAACAAACAAACAAATCGTATTCTAGTCTTGTTGCATTTAGTCGGTTCTATCAAGAACCCCGCGCTTCTTACAACTCGCCATTCCAGGGTGCCGTTGTACAAAAGTACCTTAGCGCTATGACTACCTTAAGTCTATGTTAAGGTATGGGAGTTACGGTCACCTTAGCGCTAAGATCGCTTTGTACAACGGCACCCATCCATGTCTATCTGGGGAATATTCATTGATATAACGTTAATGCTCGCTATGTAGGTACTACTTATACACCTGGTGGTGATCTGTTCCAGGTCGTCGGGCCCTGAACCAGTATTTCGTATATCGGCGTTTTCTCTTGTGGAGGAGTTCCAATGATGAGGTTGTCGTTAAACTAGGTCAAGGGGATCTGGACAGACAACGCACGTGGTCAGAACTAGCTGAAGATGCGGACTCCGACAGTTGACGTGGCGCGTCTCACCACCACAGAGTCTAGTACCAGAACTACTTTCATGAAATGTTGTGAGAGGGGCCTTAACGAAATACACTGGACCCCTGTTAATCCGGACCGAACTCTGCCTTGTTAAAATCGTCTTGATGAGCGACACTTTGTGATGTCCTGTTGATTATGTATAGAAGTTGACAACGGTAATTGTCTGAAATGTTGATGTCCTCAACTTACGGGGTCCTGACTATCAAGGTTTCACTGTATAGGAAAGTCTTGTGGTGATCTCATTGGCGTGTTTCAGTGGACTTACTCACGCTTTCAGAGATATTTTCTAGTTTTCTAGTTTTCATTACAGAACTGAAATAATTTCGTAGAATTTTAGAACTGAAAACTTTGCTATTGGTGTCTGTCCCCGTTAGCCTTGATGACAAGATTTATTGCAAAAGGAAATCTTCTATACCAGAACAACGGCTAAAATGTTTCACTCTTATGAGCAATGAAGGGAAATAACTCTAGCCTGGTTCTGTAATGTGCCATTACATAGACACTAACAACCTACCTTGAGATTAACCTGTATATCATTGTCATAGGTTAAAGGTCTTTGGAAACCTGTATTTCACATAGTTGTGTGTATGCAAACATTCACTTTTGTGTTAAGAATGTGGATTAACGATTTAGTGATAAAACATTACTGGTCTAATCGACACACACAAATGTCTTAATAAATGTAATAAATTAAGGGGATGTACATATATTTATATATTTATCTACGTTGGTGTGCAATTATTGCATGTATATTACACCTCTACGTGACTTGACGAGCAATTTTCGTTGTGCTTAATTGGCTGAACACATATTATATATAAATAAATATTTTCAACATATGATATATATCTTTTTCTTGCCATGATAATCTCATTAATCTCTCAGACTGGTTGTGTGCCTACATAACTCATCATTATCATCCATAAATGTGGAATTTGAAATACATAATATCTGTGTAACAACTGGACTAAAAATGTATTTCAAGGACTCCATTTTGAGGCCGCATCTGGTATTCACACCCTCTACAAGCGGCTCATGGCAGAGTTTAGGGACATCGGTTTGCACAGAATTCTACGGACCTTCAAACGGGACAACCAAATTCAACAAACAAACAGCTACCACTGCTCATCAGGCAACGTGAATACACAACGCCATCTAGAAAGTGGACCTTCAAACGGGACAACCAAATTCAACAAACAAACAGCTACCACTGCTCATCAGGCAACGTGAATACACAACGCCATCTAGAAAGTGGAAGCCGCGGTGGCTGTGTAGGTTAGATGGCTGACTTTGCTGGAGATCAGGTGCCTTGACGGGACCCAAGAATAGAACTAGAATCTGTACTTTATTGAGAAAGTATAATTCCAAAACATGTAACGTGTTAACTCAGGCATAGTGGGTTCACGTGATCAGTGTGAATGGGTGAGTGACTTTTACGCCGCTTTTAGCAATATCACGTCGGGGGCACCAGAAATGGGCTTCACACATTGTACCCATGTGGGGAATCGAACCCGGGTGACGAGCCAACGCTTTAACCACTAGGCTTACTCACCACCCGCGTCAGGTGTGTGTGTGTGTGTGTGTGTGTGTGTGCGTGCGTTGTTGCATTAGATGTCCCAGTTTGATCTTAATATCAGTGCTACGTGTTTGGTCCAAGGCGACCAATACATTCATTACACTGATGCCATTTCTTTAACGTTATGACCACAAGCTTTAAAGATGTTAAACAAAAATGAAATACACTGTTAATTTGATTTTTATTGCAAGAACAAACCACAATGTTATTAGTAAAAACATATCAACGAATCAGCAGAGTTTCATTAAACATTCAATCATTGCTTTACTGTTGTTTGCCACGATGCTATACCTAAATACCAGAACACACACCCAATGGCTATATGAGCACACACCATTGCACTCCCTGTGCAGGTACTACACAAACCATCTTTCAGTTCATCTTTGAATATAACTGGAAAAATCCACAGTAGGAACCTTGTTAGCCCCGGTAAACATAATCCAGATTGCTGGAGTCACAAGGTTTTATCCTGATGTATAAATATTTGGCATAATTATTTTGTTTGTCTGATAGGTGAAACTCAATCATGTTGCAATTCTGCACCTTTAAAGAACATGTATAAATAACAGGACTATTTACAGATAGGGTTTTCTGAAGAAAGTACACTTGTTGCACATTACGACATATGCAAGAAAGGCATTGCCAGCAGATTCATAAGTCAGAATCATTCTGAAATTAACGATAAGAATATTCAGTCGGGCTAATGGAATTCTTTTGTGTGTCGGTATACCTGATAACGGTGATAGATAAACTAAATAGAATCACCCTCACATCGACTGCTGTATGCATTCCAAATATCACAGAGTTGGTCAACACCTTGACAATACTGCTGAACTGGATGTAAGAGTGCACATGCCAAACTCTCGGCAAGAAAACACTTGCACATCGAAACGAAACCAAGCTTCGTGCAGAAATACAGTTCTACATGTCTTCATAAACAGGGCCAATATCGATATCATTCTACTAGTACCGTGATCGGAAGATATCTAGCAAGCATGATACTAATTACTGTATCTATCCAGGATGTTCTATCCAGGCACGTGATTGTCGTAACTTCAATAGTTTCATGTAAAGAAAGACTGACTGAGATTTAACGAGCGCTTCAAGTTGTACGACTTTAAAGCACTCGGAGTAAGCTTTAAAACCAATTATATTTATTTAATATATCTACATGTCGAACTGTTTTTAAGGATTGGTTTGACTACACTTGTATATCCTTGTATATTAGGCGGTTGATTTTGACATAGGTTGTAACAGACAGTTTAGAAATAATTTTTATCTCACCACATCCCTTTTTTTGTAGAATCTTCGCCTTATCCTGCGTTCCATTCTTGACAATGTGTAACCATTCAGGTTTCGGCTATAAGTAAAGTATGAAACTACACTAGCTGTAACAAGTGCTAAGATGTTCACCTGAGGGGAATCAGCTCAGTAATACTGGATGTATATGTACACACATTTAAATGTTTCAAATCTTTGAGATCTGCAAAAAGCAAAACAGAAAACCACTACTTTGACAAATATTATCTATCAACAACCAGTTTTACATAATTGCCTGGCACTTTTCAGCACTTTTCCTGCATTCAGATATTTTTCCGATAACGTCAAACGTCAAACATGCAATTACATACATTACCTGAACATCACACAATATAACCTTGTTCAAACTATTGCCGGACTACGAACATCATGCTGACTGTATTGTCTTTACAGAAACTTGTAATTTTTAATAGAACTACCAATCTTATTCTTCTTCATACCGGGATATGTTTAAATAATGACAACAAAACATGAACCTTGCATCGAATGCACATTCGTACGTTTAAAGTGAAGAGAAACAAATATTTTCATGCATTTTTAAATGGTCCGAAGTTTGATGTTAAACCTATAAAATTCCATTCTAATGTTGTAAATCACTGGCTTCTGTTAGGCTGAAGCAAGTGAACCGAGGTCTGATTTCCCCTGGACTCAGCCCCAGTCAGGGTGGATGGCGAAGTGTCGGGGCACGGCGGCGTGGGGGCGGATGTAGTGTGAGCTCCAGTTGTTCACACGATCCCTGTCCCTGTATTCTGGGAGGTGGTGCCACGTGGTCTGTTGCCAGCGCCGGGCACGTGTTTCTGGGTCCAGCAGCTTGATGAATTGTAGGCGGGAGTTGTCCTGGCTGGAAGCTGTGGGTCGGTCTGCAGGCCGGGGGTGCCACGCCCTTGGTTCCTGCAACAGAGGGTGAGCGTGTGAATGTTTAATTACAATATTCAAACTTGACAATTCTTCACTGGGAATGTATATAATTATTTTCATCCATCACCAGTGTTTGCATATAGTTGCTAGGGGTTAAGATACGACTCGATCAGTAAGTATTCAGACCAAGGAAGCTGAGATTGCATCGTGCATATCGCCTTCACATGTTATCAATGGACAATCATGACAGTCTGTTGATTCCGGACGAATTAACGAGCCCCGAAGAGGTGAGACGAGCCCCGAAGAGGTGAGTTGATTCTACTTTCGGACCCAACAGATGTCAGTGATTTTGTCTGACTTAAACCATGTTGTGATTGATACAGAATTTCTCTATCATTTTCCAAAATGACCTATAGTTGTGTCAGTTTCGGCGTTACTTCTGGACAAAGTGTATAACATAGTTACCTCTGAAGCGTGCTGATGACCTGCTGGAACCTTGACCTTTGTTCGTTAGCTGTCAAGCCCATGAGTTTACTTCCGGCAAGAGAAGTAAAGAATTTGAGAGCAACTTGGCGTTCTGAAAGAGATATTTATCAGTACAAGTTGTGCAGAATTTCTGCTCCTGCATGAAAGGAAGCGAGAGCATGTGATCGAATGACGATTTCAGAAGATGATAGCAGGCGACGATCCGTTTCCAGTTTAATGAAGCACAATCAACCGGGTTATACATATTTACGAAAATAACCAGATTGTTTAATGCTGCATCATCAGTTTCACAAACGTCCGTCAAAGCCTTGTACTACAAATAATTAAACTGAACTAGCAGACAATCCAGTGATGAACAGCATGAGCATCAATCTACGCAATTGGGATACGATGACATGTGTCAAGCAAGTCAGCGAGCCTGACCCCCGATCCCGTTAGTCGCCTCTTACGTCAAGCATGAGTTACTGAGGATCAATTGTAACCCATTGCTCACGGGTCTGAAATGGTATGGCTAAATGAACACATCTATATATACAGTCTTAACATTCAACTCAATTTTTGTTTTCTTTGCTAACTAACATAGCCACAATAAGACAGTAGCTGACGAATAACGTGGTCAATATGTCACAAGAACTTACCGCTTTCAGTGGCCCGATCCAGCCATTTCTCCACGGCCTGGCGCGCGTCCGGGAGCAGCGTCTTCTTCATGGCTTGATCCAAGTGTGAGCTCTTCTCCTGCATACGTAGGAGCTTCTGTACTACCTCGCGATCCATGTGAGGGGCGTCTTTCATCCAGTCCTCCGCCAGGCCGACAGCCCCGGGCTTCAGGGAGGCGCGCAGCTCCTGGAACAGTCGCATCCATTTGTATTTGTCGATACATATAGCGTTCTTCAGATCACAGGAGACCGTTTTATGTATGATCTTAACGATATGCCGCGTCCAAATGAAGCTTCAGACCAGTCAAAACAAACAAAAGATTGCTGATTAAACGTCAGAATTAGGGGGTTTAGTCGATCCAAACACAATACTGTCACCGCCATCATCACTATTATCCCATTCTACACCAACATCACCATCGTCATCATCATCATCATCATCATCATCATCATCGATACTAGAAACGGATTGGACTTATACCTTGAACATTATTTAAGGTATAGTGTTGTGTGTAAGGTTATCGTGAAACCCAGACCAGAAATTCAATTCAGGGCAAATTTAAAATTCAAATAAATAATCATTGGATCCCAGCGCGCCTAAGGCACGCAACTCTACACATCGAAGTACCGCACCTGAACGAATAGTCCCACCACATGCGACAAGATACGATACCTCGACTTTTAACGAAGCAAGATGTAACTTGAAGACAGTCAAGACTAGGCCTACCTCCTTCAGTCTGTCGTGGTCATGGGCGCCGACCGACTTGGCTCTCCGGACGGGCGAACACGGCAGGGACTTGGCCACAGGCTTTGTGGGCGGCCGGGCCGACTTTGACGACATCTTTGGAAGTTGTGAGCTGAGAGCTGGGGAAGGGTGGCGGGCACCTGGCGTCTTTTTCCGTATGACTGGCACTGCAATACAGCTGTTGTGTTATTATGCTACGCCGTGTGCGACAGGGCAAGGTGGATAGAAGAGGGCAGATGTGTGTTATCATCACGGTTTTAAGACAAGAACTGTTCTCAGCCTCTCGCATGTAATATTATGTCTGAACAATAGCGTTGCTGTTAGGTATATTTACACATGGCCATTAACTAAGCACTACCATTTCTTTTCTGAAATGTGCTTTTACAAAATGACTAGTGTGATTCAAAGTTATAGGTTGGTTTGTTGTTTAACGCCGCACTCAGCATTATTCCAGCTATATGGCTGCGGCCTGAAAATAATCGAGTCTGGATCAGACAATCCAATGATTAACAGCATGAGCATCGATCTACGCCATTGGGATACGATGGCATGTGTCAACCAAGTCAGCGAGCCTGACCACCCGATCCCGTTAGTCGGCTCTTACGACAAGCATAGCTTGAGGACCAATTCTAACACGGATCTCCGAAGGTCTATGGTCTATAATGCACAACAGTCCAACTTTTGCAGTGAACAACGATTATTGTCAACCCAGGAATCACCACAGACACTGCTGTCATTGGTGGAACACACCGTTGTCACTTGATGACATTCACGAGGTGCCTCCTCCTGCTGCTGGGGCCGCCTCCGTGGTGTAGAGGTAAGAGCGTCCGCGAGGATGAGCGGAAGGTCGCGGGTTCGATCCCCGACCGCGTCATACCAAAAGACGTTAAAATATGGTACTTGTTGGTCCCTGCCTGGCGCTCGGCATTGATGGGTACAACAAGGACTGGTCGGCTCGGAGTCAGTATAATGTGTCTGAGTGGGGTATTCATGCTTCACTGCGGCATGGTATCTCAGTGGGCTAGCACTATAAAACCAGCTTAAGTCTGGGCTAGTACAAGCAGCCGCACATACACATACACTCGCATGCACGTCGTCATATGAGCGGAATATTCTCAAGCACGACGTTAAACCCAATTTCACCTCACCTCACCTCCTGCTGCTGGTCAGACGTCAGATTTTCAACTGATCGCCTATTCCTGATGTAGTGCCTGGGTCATTTTATTCAGGTTGCGTGATGCACATGCAGTACATTTATACGGCAAGTTAGGGTTCCATTGTTATCATTGTTTTCGGAAATGAATTTGAATTAGGCTGTGTTAAAGAAGACCTTGCTATAATGAGTGTCATTTCTAGTCCTGCCAACACCAAAATAATTGTAAAGGTTGGTATGAGCAATGAAACAACTTGAAGTTTCTAATGTTGTAAAATGCGATGTCAGAGTGTATGGTGTTTGTTGCCGCAGTCACCAATATTCAAGCTACAAAACATCGACCTGAAAATAATCAAGTCTTTCCAAGACATACCGAGCCCTCATGGCGTGAGCAACAATTGTGAGTGAGTGAGTTTAGTTTTACGCCGCTTTTAGCAACATTCCAGCAATATCATGGCGGGGGCCTCCAGAAATGGGCTTCACACATATTGTGCCCATGTGGGGAATCGAACCCGGGTCTTCGGCGTGACGAGCGAACGCCTTATACTAGACTACCCCACCGCCCCTGAGCAACAATAGGTTAGTATATACGACATACAATATGTCAGGTCAGTAAGTCACTGAACCTGACCACCTGATGCGAAAAAAACAAAACAAATCTCAACGTCTTACGTGTCGATGGGGAGTTGTCATCCGCAGTCTTTTTGACCTTCCGAACGTTACCTGAAAAAAGCAACGTTACCGTGAAAGTTTTATAACTGTACGACTTATACGATGTAAAGACTATCACTCAGCGGTTGATTGTTTTCTCAATATGTATTATTACACAAGATACATACATTTAGCCTGAGGGCAGCATTTTTATTTTCGGTGTTTCTCATCGCCCGACCGACCCTTCTACCTTTATTGCCGACGCCCAAACATAACCTTTTTTTTCATTCCAACACCACCGACACGAACCTAAAATGTACCGCCTCGTCATATAAAATGTTTATCTTTTAATCAGTCGCTGCCACAAGTCCAAAGAACGCGAGAAATTGTAATAAGAATTACAATAAATGAGAATCAAGAACATTATTCAGATAATTTTATCTTAAATATTTTTTTTTCCTTTATTAATTCCCCGACCGACCGACCGACCCGACCCATGTTCAGAATTTGGTGGCTACGTGAAACATAAAAAATAATGCCTTGATTTGTTTTGAGGTCCATCCAGTGGAATTTGATCAAGGACACGTGTTACATTTACAATTTTCATGGTTTGTAGAACTGGTTTGTTTGATGCACTATTATCATCATACTTACGCTTTCCTTTGGAACTCTCCTTGTCGAGTATTCTTTCTGGTATTGTCCAGTTTCCAAACATCTAAAACGATATCACATTGTTGTTAATAAACTTCATAAAATCACATCATGAGTGGGTAATGTCTTACACCGTGTTTAACAATACTCCAGCAATATCACGACCGGGGACACCAGGAATAGGCTTCACACATTATACCCATGTGGGAATTGAACTCGGTCTTCGTCGTGACGACCAGGCTACAGCAACGTCCACTCACCATAGATTACCTCATTTTAAATAACAAACACAGCAACTATAATTAATAAAAAATATGTATTTAGTAAATGTAAAATATAACTGTAATTTCCGTGAAAATGTGTTTTTGAAATGTTCGCTCCATTATTGTATATATGTTTCAGACGTCTTTGAAAAAAACCGTGCGTTATTCCGAAGATTTGATATCAAAAGAGTTTGCTTTCGGATTCAGCTGGGAGCAACGTCTTTTCTGTACGTGTACACACGTGTTTGTTTTCTTCTCACAACTCAAAGGTTTTAACTTACATTACAAGAATTATCCAGTCTTAAGCTCGGAGCACAAACCACAGTCCTACTCGTAGCTAATGATCTCTTTACACACTGTTGGTATATGGCACCCATAATCCCCTTCGTCTACGTGTATGTAGACTTCGTGATAACAAACACGTATTGTTCCTGGGATTACTGTTCCTGTGTACGCTGCGTACACAATATTGTGTTCAATTGCGAAAACATCGATGTACGTTCACCCTTTACGTCGACACATTGTACAAATTACCTGCCCCTGAAACACACGGGATTAACCTGTCAGTGTGCAGTGGTGTATGGTATAGATAAGGGAGATAACTCACAACGAGCAGGTGGGTATTTGAGTGACTTGCTTAACGCATAATCAGTACTATGACTGATATTTGCGAGTAGTAAGGGGTCTTGATGCAAAAAATCTTAAAAGATAGTAACGAAATGTCTCCTTTTCGCACATATTTCGGATCATTATAGTGATCAGAGCCGGGAAACCTACAACAACTTTTTAATTTGATAGGCTGCAAAACATCGCGGTGTATTAAACAAAACAAGGCACGTATAGTCATTCTGCAATTGAGGATCAGATCTGAATGGGAAAACATTAAAGATCTGTGGTGTCTAAAAGTGTAGAAAGATAAAGTTTGTTTTTTTATAAACGTCCTTTCGCTTCAAGTCTTATACTCTTCATGAGGGACATTCAGTTGATGTACAGCAACTCGACAGTTCCTTTGGGAGCCTTTTGGAATGAATGCCGAGGAGATGGAAACAAACAGGTCCAAGTCGGCCATTACATCATCTATATGATTCCCAGAAGGAGAGATACCTGATATTGATAAAGACATTGAAGGTCAAGGGTACAGCAGGCTTCACGGGAATATAAAAAATCATGTCTATCTGCGTCTGAGACAGTGTGAGCGTTCTTCTTTCAACAACCGGCTTTATGGATTTTTAGCTTAAATCATAAGTGGTTGGAAATATCCATGTTTGTAATGGCCTCTTCAAATGAATGCCCTTGTTGTGAAATTAAATGAATGGTAAATACACGTCGAATGATTACCTTCATAAAACCTACTCTTCAATTTTTCGATTACGAAGACTGGTTGACAAATATGCCTTAAATACTCTTTGACTTTCTCATTAAGTGTGCTGACATTGAGGCCACTGAACACCTTTGACAATAGAATATCTTATAGGACCAAACATACATTAGTACCTGGAATCATTATATCACGAATAAAGTAAGGAAACTATCAGACTGATTTCAAAATACTTGGGATGAAATTGATGGCCTTAAATAAGGTGTATTTCCCGCAGAAATGTTGGGTGATATATTTTCTACAGGTCAATGGCCCGAAATCTTTGTGCTACGGCCATACTCTAACACAGGTAACAATAAAGGTAGCGCTAAGATATTTCTTGTTTTTGGCCAAATAGCCCTCTGAAACAGTGAATAACAGTTAATATTTTTATACCAAACATTCCTAGGAAGTACCGCTATTCACATTAGGGTACGCTTCTATTTCAGAACAATCAGTAAACAATAAATTAGTGCGGTGAAGCTTTAAGTTCCCGTAACTAAAACATTTCGAGCACTGCGAGCTCTCTGCCGGGTGGTGTTCACCTGTGCGCTGTAAGGAGTACCCCTGTGTTCGGTGTTGGTGCGGGTTTATCGTGGGTGAGTAGAGGACTGTTTAACAAGCTCTTGACACTGCCATAACTTGGAACAACCTCTCCGGATCAATACCCCAAGCTGGGTCGTGACAGGGAATTGTCAATGTCCCATCGACAGATTAGATTACAAACATGCCCTAATACCCTACTATGGGGTAGACTAGATGCAAAGCTAGTTGTGTCTCCATAAACATAAATAGATTCTGTGTATTGTTTCATTTCCATATAAACACCGTATATGTTATAAGTACATGACTTGCTACTGAGGCTATATAACAAAGGGTATAACTGAACGAATACCAACAGAATACCAATCATATTACAATTGTGGATATATTCTATCCAAATGTACCCTTAAAACGACAGTAGGAGTTAAATATTTATATTTCAGTTAAATTTGATTATCACAGCAAGCCTATTATGACACACATATGAATGATTACAAAATGCATTTTCAGCTTTCAGCCGACTGATAGCTTTAACTTTAGTTAAACTAACTATGAGCTATGGTAATATCCACAGTGTAATGAATGGTCCCAAAATATACTCTTCAAGTTGTTGTTATAAATATGACAGGCACGTGAGTTATGAGCGAGTAAGTGAGTATCGTTTTACGCCGCTTTTAGCAATATTCCAGCAAAATCACGGCGGAAGACACCAGAAATGGGCTTCACACATTGTACCCATGTTGGGAATCGAACCCGGGTCTTCAGCGTGACGAGCGGACGCTTTAACCACTTGACTACCCCACCGCCCCTGTTTACAAATAAAGTGGCTATATAATCTTGTTCACAGCAGTTGTTTACAAAGTACTAACATCTGTACCAAATTTCGCAAAGACAGAATATAGATTTACAAATCCATATTTATACCTTCACCGATACAGCTTTAAATGTCACTTACATATTGCACATGTAAAGATGTCTTCGGTTCAGATGACATATTCCATTCTGCTAATTCTATACCACTCCCTTATTCTACAGGTTCTACAGATTATGACGATCCGAAGCACAGAATGAGAAATATTTTTCACAAACGCGCGAACGATGTTTTCTAACCATATATAATCATAATGTTATCTATGGCTTTTTTCAAGATGAATTCGTCAAGAAGACACATTTTGACGTGCGACCTATCATGTAAGTGATCTGTCGTGTCCATGCATGAGGCTAGCAACATGGATTCACATAAACTTGTAACCTAACACCTGCGACCCTTATTTGAACTGACAGAAATTACCTTGTCTAATCTTCGTTGATTCCCCACGCCACGATACTCACATACCTTTGTGTTTTCTTGATGCCTTCTTTCAGATTATAAAAGGTGTTTTCTCCAAACTTTTATGAAATATTGCAGATGTGTGCTGCCGTCCATCCAGTTTCGAATCTTGTCGTCTGCTTTGCAATAATTGCGTTACCAAGATGTTTTGCGCAGGCGCGTAATATGAAAACAATGACGTCCGTGAGGGTTGATTACTACCTCGTTATAAAGCGAAACTATTTGTGTTTGACTTGCATGGTATTTTATGTAGGAGAGTATATATGACTAAGTATTGTATCTTGTAGAAGTGTGTTTGAGAATAGGATTGTCATTATTTTGACAAGGACACCATTTACGGGTAGGGGTGTTATAGCGGGGTAGGTTGCCTGACGAGCCTTGACATAGCACAAGGTAATACCACTCCGTCGAATAAACAAAACCGATTTTTGATTTGCTAAGTGTATTGTCAATATGTTCTATATTAATCTGGGCCTATAACATGCCAGTCTAACACTGAGACGTCAAGAGTTTAGGAGGGTTTATATCGAATGCGTTTTGTCGATGGAAAAATAATCAAAGATATGACAATCATTTAAATCAATTGCCCTACGCTACAACACTGGGGTGTTCCAGTATCACAAATCTCAGTGCAGCTGATGTGGGTGTTCCTGAATTGAACTTTACGGAACATTTATGTTTACTGAAAGTTTATTAAATGACCATTGAAACTCTCGAGAAAATGAAGTGTGCACCCCCACTTTCTCAAGAGTGAGTACCCTCCTCTTTCTCAAAAAGCTGTATCGCCCCTGAACAAATATTGAAAATTTAATTATTTTTATCATGTATAAGCAGTGTTTATAAATGTAACGTTGTTCTCACATAACATGGGGCGGTGGAGTAGCCCAGTGATCAAAGCGTTCGATCGTCACACCGAAGACCCAGGTTCAGTTCTCCACATATGGCTACAAAGTGGGAAGCCCATTTTGGCGTCAAGGGTCGTGGTATTGCTATAATATTGCTAAAAGCGGCGTAAAACCTTACTCACTCATTCTTATATAACCAGTGTAAACGTTTCCAAGGTTACCGCAATCTTCATTACAAACATCATCATCATCCTCATCCTCAGTACTATTGTTATCATTACTTCAGTAATCGTGACGATCAATTACTGCCTCAATGGGTTACGTTAGATTTGCCATACTTTTTATAGATTATTTGTGTCATATCTAATTCCACAGAGTGGAAATGATCAAGATTAAAAAAGGAGAAACCACTGAACACTAGGTAGAATACCAGTAAACGAAAATTGTGACAGAAATTCTGTAGGACATAACAGATAAGAGAGATACAGATAGTGACGTCACTTCCCCGTGGAAGCCATGATAGTCAATGGGTCCATGGAGTTAGGATACCAAGGAAATCGGGCATGGATAGTTATTAAGGAGTCAGGACGTGTAACTTCGTTTAATTTCTTTGAGACATACCCTTTTCTTACTTCGGGCTTGTCTCCCACATCAATCTGACTCGTCGCGACATAACTGGAATAGTGGAAAACTCGCTCACTCACTCTTTGATATGAGGAGACACTTAGGGCACCCCGATGAAAATCAAATAATTAATTGGGGGTAAACCTATTCTGTTTTTTTAATTTTATATGCTTTCAATCGTGACCAAGACGCGTTTTTAAGCGAACACTTCTTGTGCACGTATTCAGTTCAGTGATGAGTTTAGAAGTGGTTATCTCTCATTAACCCCTTCTGATGTAAATCTAGTAACATTTACCACTCAAACTAGCTAGATCATCCTTCAATGCGCAGATATAATATAAACTCCATACGTATGTGGGTAATATTAGAGCAATATTGTATATGTGAATGTACGCGATACATGTATTTCACATATTGCACCCTTGTGTAGAATTGTTAGGAAGGTCAACTGACGTACAAAAGGAAGTAAACACCCGGTGTTTGGGGAGTATTTTCAATAAAAAGAACCCAACCTAAATATTTTTAAATGTGTCTTGATTGTGACGTACAAGTCACAAACATTTATGCAAGTGTTCAAACTATTTACGTCGTTTTCTTTCAAAAATAATCGCAAAACGGGGCGTGGAGGGCGAGCTGTCTAAGGCGCCAGGCTAGTGACCCAGCGAGCTTGAGGTGCATGGATCGAGCCCACCTGTGACCGGGTGTGTTGAGTTGAGTTGAGTTGAGTTGGGTTTTACGTCACATCGGCATTGTTCCAGCCATATAGTGACGAGAACAAGTTTGCATTAATAAACATTGTAAGTACATACTCGGAATGAGTTTTATTTCAAAAGCATATATTCATTACATTGTCATTTAAAAACCGAAAAAGTCATAGCACCAAATTTAAAAGCAGGCAATTCGTTAGTCACATTACACAGTTACAATTTATGATACAGATCAACTTCCCTCAGGTAGTTCACTATCAGATGAGCGCTCACACGGGAAAACAGATCTTTTAGATTTGTTGCATCATAATGTGAGTCCCTTGCAGACGACAAGTCCGCACAGTCAAGCAGAATATGCTTGATGGTGAAAACCTCATCGCAAGAGAGACACATGGGGGTCCATCCCCATCCGTCTTCAGCAGATAGTCATGTGTAAAACCGACTGTGGCCAAATACGACATCGTCGTAAAATTATCTCATCGCGTCTTGACTGACAACCCAAGTAGGTATAACCAATTGTTGGCTTCAATTCATACAGTTTATTTCTTCCTACTTGAGTGTCCCACCTTTTTTGCATGAGGTCCCGTGTATAGCTTTTGATAGTGGGTTTGAAATCACTGTATGGGATCAGCAGTGGAGATAAGGGCTTGTCAAGAGCTGCTTTAGCTGCAGCATCGGCTTTTGTGTTACCTGCTATGCCGACGTGACCCGGCAACCAGCAGAGGACGATGTCACATTGGCCAGTAGAAAGGTCGTTGTAAAGTTCTAAAATGTCCAGAATGATTGGGTGACTTGAAGTTATATTTTTTGAAGTGCTTGAAGGCAAGATAATGAATCTGTAAAACTGATGAAGTTTTTGGAATGATTCTGCTGTTTAATGTAGGTCAATGCTGAGAAGATAGCTTTGGCCTCGGCAGTGAAAATGGAACTGTTGTCGGGAATCCTAGAGGAGACAGTCTTGGATCCAATGACTGTAGCACTGGCAACTTGGCCCTCATCCTTGGATCCGTCTGTGAAAATGGATCTATGGGTGTCATACTTGGAACGTAACTGGTTGTATTCCTGCTGGAACACCAAAGGATTTGTTTCGGACTTTTTGAGTTTAGTGAGGGTAAGATCGACCTGTGGTTTCACCATCTGCCAGGGTGGTGAAGAGTCGGTAAGGTGCTATGATATTGAGATCAATTTTAGCTGCAGATATGTGTGGTTGAATTCTGATTCCAAGTGGTGGAACGAGGCTTGGCAGTTTGGGAAACAGGTTTTCATAGAGAGGGTTTGAAAACACAATTGTATGCTGGATTGGACTGATTTGAACGTAATTTAGTGATATATTGCAGTGAAAGTTTAATGCGGCGTGACCGGGTGTAAAAACCTTGGAATCAACTTTGTGTGCAGACTCTTTCAGTGTTGTCACAACCCCTAGTGTACAGTACACAACCCTGTGCACGTACAAGAACCCACGAATCCGTTGGTAAATAACCAGATGGTGGCCACACGAATGCGCGCAAACACCTAGTTGCGGGTACAGCAACGTGCAGTAAACTTGGACAAAGTACTGTGACTATGTGTCCCAGTCCACAAAGCTGTGAATGGGTACCTTGGGAGGATGAGAAAGCCACATTAACTTGCTGCGCCTAGTGGCTGCAAGAGTTGTATGATCCCCAGGGAGTTGAGATTGATAATACGAAGTGCCGTTGAGATTGACATCCAGTAATCGAGGGAAAAACAAAGCGATAAAAATACCAGGTGTGAACTATCTTTTCTACGTCAGTATATTATCCAAATCAAGACAATACTTAACCTGTGTACTTACGTGCCCAGGCTCCCTGGTGTTCGAGTTGAATAATACGTCAGCTATCGTCTCACGTTTCTTTTGAATCTCTTCCAGCTGAAACAAACACCAGAACGAGGCTATGAAGGGCAGCGAAACGTTGACATGACACACTGACGTCTATTGTTATACAGAGAGGCCTTGTGATCGGGGGACACGGCTATTGTTTTGAAATAGCAATCCGTGATTTCTCAGCTATGGTAGTGTTTCGGAACCATTACGTCAGTTGACAATAATGACGTCTCGTGGCTATGGTATTGTTTCGGATCGTGGCTATGGTATTGTTTCGGAACCATTACGTCAGTTGACAATAATGACGATTCGTCGTGGCTATGGTATTGTTTCGGATCGTGGGTATGGTATTGTTTCGGAACCATTACGTCAACTGACATTAATGACGATTCGTGGCTAATACTGGCTATGGTATTGTTTCGGAACCATTAAGTAGGTTGACAATTTATGACGATTCGTGGCTAATACTGGCTATGGTATTGTTTCGGAACCATTAAGTAGGTTGACATCAATGACGATTCGTGGCTAATACTGGCTATGGTATTGTTTCGGAACCATTACGTAGGTTGACATTAATGACGTGTCATGTATTTTCGACTCGATGACATTAGTGTAAAAGACTGAAAGGGATACAGCATGATATGGAGGTATATCTTATAGTTTACAGTAAACGCACAAAGGTCAAATAAAAAGGTCTTTAGGTCAAATAAAAAATAATTCTGAGGATAATGGGTAATATAGTTCAAGGGGTCAAGGGATTATCGTTCCTGATTATTATGATGTCATTTTTCGAAAAATAAAACCGACTTCTCATGAAGCAGTGGAAATATACATCATTTCCTCCATTAATCCCGGTCAAACTAACCCCAGTTTACTGTTATAGCTGGCTGATCCTTTCGCAATTGTCTAAACACCCACTTTACACAATTTGTCAGTCTTATTCAGATGTAACAGGGAAAAACAATAGTTGTCTCTATCATTCCTGTCGGGTTTTTCATTGAAAACAAAACAACAACATACCTCCCTGTTCTTCCTGAAAGTTTATTAAATGACCATTGAAACTCTGGTGAAAACGGGTAAAAATGAACTGTACACACCCCACCCCCTTTCTTAAGAAGCTGTATCCGCCCCTGCTATTGCTACGCTTCTCGCAGACTTGTTTTGTTTTTGACATTAAATAACAAAGAGTGAGTGAGTGAGTTTAGTTTTACACCGCACTCAGCAATATTCCAGCTATATGGCGGCGGTCTGTAAATAATCGAGTCTGGACCAGACAATCCAGTGATCAACAGCATGAGCATCAATCTGCGCAATTGGAAACCGATGACTTGTGTCAACCAAGCCAGCGAGCCTGACCACACGATCCCGTTAGTCGCCTCTTAGAACAAGCATGGGTTTCTGAAGGCCAAGTCTAACCCGGACCAAATAATAAAGAAACAAACCTTTATAGAGGAAATACGGTAATACAACCACTGGGTAAAATTACTGAAAATGCGTACAGCTCGAGGATTAAAAATATAAGCGAGGGTTGATTTTTGTCCAAGACAGGTCCAGGGATGGCCCGAATTTCCTCTTTGCTGTCATCGATACTGATAAGGATACACACTTTATTGTGATCAGCACGGCATTGTTGAGTGAAGGCCTCTAACGCCAAAGTCACCAATATTCAAATATTATTTTGGCCAGTGTTTATTATCAGGAAAGGTGAACCAGAGGTTGATAACATGAACAAAGACCCGCTCATGATAACATGAGCAAAGACCCGGTTCACGAAAACGCCCAGCCAGGTCAAACGGTCAGTCAGGCCAGCCAATTCAACCAAGATATCCGTTCAGTTTAGGGAGCATCTGTACGGACTGACTATTGAAATACACATCGTTCAGTCTGCAACGGAGTTCAGTTCAGAGTTGACTAAGGTATTATATAAATCCTGGTGTGTCAGTGTACAAAACGACTTGTTACCATTTCAAAACTGCAGTGATCCATTCAACGACAGCCTAGTAGCCTAGTAGCCTACAGATTCGCCGCGCATAGCTGTGTTGAACAGTTGTGCCAGAATCCTATAATCGTAGGTTCGAATCCCAGTTAAGCCCTGGCTAGCTCTTCTCGAAACGTTCGTAGCCCTACGAACTTCATAAGCCCATTCTTAACACATTGGCTACGATCAAAGTTAAGAATTCTAAGGGCTACGAACTTTTCGAGAATAAGGGCGCTGGTTTATATTCTTGGTTGGCCAGGGCACACCCTAGTTTCAACTAACGTATTAAACACATAGACCTAGATCACCAAAGGGGAGGTGGGGTAGCCTAGTGGTTAAAGCGTTCGCTCGTCACGCCGAAGACTCGGGTTCGATTCCCAACATGGGTACAATGTGTGAAGCACGTTTTTGGTGTCCCCCGCCGTGATATTGCTGGAATATTGCTAAAAGCGGCGTTAAACCAAACTCACTCACTAGATCACCAAAGCCGTCACTTTGTGATATAAATGAAGCACTGTTCATAGCCAAGTAAGGCAGTGGATTTCCCTAGTTGTTAAAGCGTTCGCTCGTCATGCCGAAGGCCCGGTTTCGATTCCCCACATTGCGTGAAGCCCATTTCTGGTATTATTGTTGGAATATTGCTAAAAGCAGCGTACAATCTCATTCACTTGCTCAAAGCCAAGTCTGTAAAGCGATGCAAACACTGAAAAATGCTGAAACTTTTGTACGAAAATATTATTGTACGTACGCTTCAATCAATGGCTACACTTAACGACAGTGTGAATAGACACTCATCTCGTCCGATGTATACTACCCATCAAAAGTTTAGACTCAATTAAAGCATCCACTTTATGTTATGTATATATTTGTGGTTACATCGAAGATGAATTTCTCCACTAACTTGGGGGAACCAACTGCAAACCTTATGCAGGCGAATTGCACGTGGATCGTGCATCAATTTGCTGAAAAGCATGTGGAAATATCGCGCATGTGAACAGAGGCGTTTTGGTGTAAAGTTTTGCTAGAATTTGCCAATTTTCACTGAGTTTCATCATTTATTGAACTCATGACAATAATTTTTTCAACGTTACGAATTTGTTTTACAATACATCAGTTCATGTGTAAACAGTACTTTTAAACAGTATGGAATATTTTGCAATCTAGTTTAGAACAGTTGACTGAGGTAAGTGGCTACATTTACACGAGTGAGTCTAAACTTTTGATGGGTATTATAATAATTCACCCAATCCGCTCCACCACAATGTATCCACCCATTAACCGTTCACACTGTCGCCTTCCATTCACACAATTACTAGAACATCTACAACCCTGATGAGTTTGGAGTTCAACAACAATAAAGAAATGACAAAAATCACTTGAAAATAGATTGAATTGTGATTTAAGATGAAATTCTGTGCTGACCCGTGCCCAATTCAAATGATATGTATTTTTGAAGTAACATATAGTTTGTTTGTAATTCATGCAATAATTTGCTGTTTACTGTATATTCAAAGGTAATAGAGAACCTAGAAGATCTGGGTTAGAATTGATCTTCAGTAACCCATGCTTGTCAGAAGAGGCGACTAACGGGATCGGGTGGTCAGGCTCACTGACTGGGTTGACACATGTCATCGTATCCCAATTGCGTTGATCGATGTCCATGCTGTTGATCCCTGGATTGTCTGGTCCAGACTCGATTATTTACAGGCCCCCGCCATATAGCTGGAATATTGCTGAGTGCGGCGTAAAACTAAACTCACTCAGAACCTAGAAAATATGTACCCTTTATACACTGAAACCTCGCCTATCCAGAAGGTAAAGGTGCGGTCGAATTCACCTAAGTCTAAACTGTTGGTTTTTTATTCAATCTAGTTTGCAGTGCCTTGACAATCCAAGGATATAAGTTACACGTTTTGCGGAGCGTCACACAAGGTATAAGTAGTGAGCAGTAAATCGGATGAAATCACTTGTGACCGTTGTGTTATGTATTAATGCGCCTGAAACAACAGACAGATATACATCGAATCGATTATAATCTGGTTCTATTTTAGGAGTGTAAGAAACAGATCACAGCACACCTGTCTGTCATGAAATTTATCTTGGAGCTGGTTGTAAGATAAATGATATCTGACAGCCACCCGGGTAGTAATCTTTTCCACATCATGGCAGACGCCCACAAGGCCCGGACGGTTGATACAACCAGTGTGCGATATAGTTCCCATATTTTGCTATCCAGTCTGGCTAGCTATGCCTCAAGTTACCAGCCCACAAAATAATTCACTAGCCCGAAATTTGAATGTAGAAACTAAGTAAAAGATTGCAAAAATAGATGAGAATAAGATATTGTCGGCATGACATGGATTCCACCATTAAGCTGCTAATATGATGAACATTTTATAAGGCCATAATCTTGCATGATTTAAAAGTGTATTATAACTTAACAAGTCGGAGCGAGTGATATATTTACAAAATGACCCCATGAAAATTCGCTAGCGAGACGGGCCAAACTGTGGAGATTTACTGGTCCGGCTGCATTTTACTAGCCACGGGCCTACCGGGCATACTATTTCGCAAACTGGATACAACCGATCACATGTGCAGTCTGGTTGTGAAGTCAAACTGTTACTCTTCCCAGCAGTTTGATAATAATTTATCATCATTGCGGACGTTCATGTCAATCATTGTTTTTAAGTTAGCATATTTCAGGGTTGTTTCAGTCACCGTGTTGTCTGTGTCTGTGTTGGTATGCCTACGAAACCTATATACATGTATATGTTAAATATTCTGTTATATGGCGGCGGTCTGTAAATAATCGACTCTGGACCAGACAACAAGTAAATGACATAATGAGCATCGATCTACGCAACTGGGATATAATGCCATGTGTCAGTCAGTCAGCGAGCCTGACCACCCGATCCCGTTAATCGCCTCTTACAACCATGGGCTGCTAAATAACAGCTTTAACCCCGATCTTCGGGGTCAGTGTGTAATATTTGAGAAAAATCCAGGAGACTATATGAGTAAGTCAAGGGGAAGTAAAAGATTGTCTACACATTCAATTAGTTTT